ATGTAGATGACTAACAGACATACGACGTATCTGACCAACCAAGCTTGGGTACACAGTAATTTACACCAAAGATAATAACATTCAAATAGTAACTTGAAACTAGAAATGCCTTTATTCGTGCAAGTCAATTTAACAATTACACTCTCATACACAGTTGACTTATCCTCATTAAACTGACCATTAACTTTCTTCTTTTCAAACGGACGGATACTAGCATGGTCACAGCACAAGGCACTTGAGTTCATGAGCGTCTCTGTCATTGTGGATGACAACACCAACGATAACTGATTGATACCAGTTGATGAACTTAGCGGTGGATCAAAAGCTGTTGTTGCTCGACTTTCAGAAGTTTGTCTACATGCAAGACCACCACCAATACTGTGTTTTATTATTAGCTCCAGTTTAGCCTTAACAACTGTCGATAGGTGGACTACACGCGGATCATTTACACTGACAGTCTCACTAGTATCCATACCTTCTTCAACCGAATCTGCCTTTAAGTCTTCTCCACGTTCAAGTTGTACAGAACCTTTGTTCAACTCAGTAGCATAGGCATTCCTCTAATCTCATTATGATCAGCCAAAGACAAAAGTCCACCATCATGATCATTATCACAAATATCCAATATACCGTCGTCTATCTGGTCGACTTCATTATTTTCTAACTCTTCGATAACACCAGTAGGTGATTTGGGTTCTTCCTCACAAATCCCTAGAGACTTTACACCTTTACTCTGACTAGCATTACCTTGTAAACTTGTGAAGTCAGAACTGAACTCTGAAACTGTAACTCTTTTCTCCTGCATAAACTGCGGTGTCGTCTGTGACACTCCATTCAACAACGGCTTACTAGTTGCAACTACAGGCTTCTTCACTGCACCATTATCGCCACACAATTCGGAGTCAGACCTTGATGATACTGATTTCACATTTACCTTACAACTAAAATTGGTCACTTCTTCACAGTTTGCTTTTTTGTGCACTTCTTGCAAACGGACGAAACACAACTGTGTTTGTCTCACAACCTGTAACCTGTCCTTTGGGGATGTCCCACGAAATCTGTCGCACTCATTAGGCTTGTATGGATAAATAGACACCATGAATCGTTCTTGATATTCGCTTCTCTGAGTCCCTTTCATCATAGGTGACTGCGTTTCGTTCTCTGATTTCTTCGTTCTAGGGGTGGGATGGAGTATTGCCGCAAACTTGCTCAAAGCTTGGTTGACACTGTCTTTCACCAGGCCGGCAATATTATGCAAACCACTTTCTAATCTCTCCTCTTCTAGACGGGAGCTGATCCTTGTGAACTTTCTTTGCAGACGAACTGATAATCTCTTGGCAACAGTCTCAAGCACGCGACTTGAATTCAAGTCGTTTACGCAATTAGGAGACACAAGAGTATTTCTATATACCATTAAACTGTCCAAGAACTCTGTGAGTTCCTCTGAATTATCGTTTAACTGTGATCTATTACCATTCACTGTCTCAAAAACTTTACGGGATATCATAAATGGTTTTTTAAAGCTTTAACGTAGTATCCTCATAGCATCTGTATATCCTTCGTTCGAGACATAAACTTGCAGGACTGTATGGCTCTTGCAGTAACACCAGTGCAATACCTAAACAAATACATTAACTTCATTTCGTCATCTAAAGTAAAACCACTCTGCATGACCTCAAACTCTTCGATAAACTGTGGGTATTCGGCTGGGCTTCCATCAAAGTACGGAGGCTCGAATCTAGGCAACTTTAAACCCTTACTAACCCTAAACGTCGAACCATGAACGACAGACTCATCATGCTGAGCATCATGCATATCCTTACAGTTAACAAGCAACTCAGCATTGCTTACTTTCCCGTCTGCTTCCATGGTACCACTTCCCCTTCTTGACCCAGGCATTACCCAACGTCACCAAAGAATCCAAATTGCGTTGATAATCCGTGTCCAAAGAGATGCTGGCTGCAGACCCAGTAAGTAATCCGGGAAGTTCCAGAAGGCGCTCCAGAAAACGAATAGAAACTTTCCCAGAAGGCGCTCCAGAGAACGAACAGGCGAATAAAAACTGTGAAGAAACTTATCCCTAAGTTCCTATTGTTACGAAGACGCTCCGAGCCGATGAATACTATGTACTTTCTTCGACTTTAACTCCAAAACACCAGTATTGTAAGAAGGAAGTTATATTGTTTGGCAATTAAAGCGGAGTATAATACTAGTCTACAAACAAATGTTTTGTACAAAATTATTATGTACTTTTATTCGGTTTTGGTCGTCCTCGTCGAACTTGTACACGATCGATCCATTCGCGCCTTCGAGTTGCCCACCAATGGCTACCAGTTCCAAAAACAAACGTTCAATGTTCACCTTCATTGACAGTAGTAATGAAGTTCTAATCAAGATGGAGCCACTGTCTAAAACAAGTGCGTCTCTAAAAAGACGCTGTTTCACAAAATTTTAGGGGTTATCTATCTGTAAGTAACAAATGAATATCCGTGAAAACATGCGCAAATGTCGTCAATTTTCAATTTACCGCAGGTTGCCTTTCGAGAAATTCCGTGAGTTGAAAAAGTTAAGATCTGTGAATTTCGGGAACCCGTTAACCAATTCTGTACACTTCTGTTTTGGCTTACGAAATTCTTGAGTGGTTGAGTCGGTGATGCGACGCGGTTTAGTTCTTGAGTTAACATGGAGCGAATGTTACTGGCATTATAGAAACCTTCGCTTCTCAATGATACGGTGCAGGAACGAGTATTCTCAGCTACAGTAGTGATTTTGTGTGTACCCCGTTTCCCATTTTCGGTTTTTTCCTGAACAGCTAGTCTCCCGAATCTTGGACTTAAGCAACCTTAATTTCCTCGCACTGAGCCACAGCCACTGTCATCAACCGGGAATGTCCTTAGGCATCGATCTCTCTGGTTTATCATTGACAGGCAATTCAGTCTTCATTCTTAAATTTTTAACTTTTGTTTCTACTCTGCTCCTGAAATATTACTTCAGATTCTTTGAGTGCATATACACATAGCAATCCGGACAGCTGGACTGGGAAGGTGTTTATCTGTCCGCTCATTGGCCTGGCTTCAATAAGGTGTTGTAAAACTGTGAAAAATACAGTTCCGTGATATTTCACGTCTAATTTAGACAGCTGAGTGATCTGACGCACACCTGGATGACTCCTTCATGGCAGCTGTGTGACTTAAATGTAAGACCAGGATAATTGATAAGGCGAAAGCCACGAATGTCTGCAGACGCGAAAAATCTCACATACAATTGGTTTTGATTGACATTCTTTGCCGCGAGTTCTATACTACGAGAACAAAGAGTGCTTATGGATTCTGCGGCATTTATACTTCCGTTCAACGTCACCTGGCTAACTATACTACTAGCCGGTCCACAGCTGACAAGCAGAATGGAGGTTAGGCATAGGGGGAGCGACCATGCTCCTGGAGCTAATCGCAGCCGCTACAGAAAGTTCAAAGCAGAGAATAGGGAAAAATTTATCGTTCATCGAAATCTCGGTCATGAGAGGATTTGGGCCAGTAATTAAGCTGCCGTCTTACTTCGATGAAAGCGAAATTAGTTATGGGGACATAGATTTTCTGTGCGATTTTCGAAGCTAGCTTGATGGGCTGCTCATATTGTAAAGGAAAGGAGTAGATAAGACGTGGAAGTCTCAAGAGTTTGTGAGTGATAATGGAATTGAATTGGACTGTCCGAACTGTTAACTGCAGAACGGAGAGTCTGCCGAAGTCACCCACATTTAAAGGATAAGCACACTAAAGTATTGATTTTCATGATGTCACCAACAGCATGGGAGGCTCATGTTCACTGCTTAGCTCATGCAAGCAATGCAGTCGGTGGCACAGCGGTGAGGACTCTCGCCGACCATGAACATGGTCTGAGGTTCGATCCCCTGCCGACGCACACCTGATATCTATGGTCGGCCTGCAAAATTTGGGCTACCGATATCCATGCTGAGAATTCCATACTTGTACCAAAAATGCAGTGTGGAATCAAGCAGTAATCAAAATAAAAAAATAAAAATATGGAGAAAAATTTGGTAGACAATCGCAAAAATTAGAGGACTGTACAAGGGTATAATAGCAAGGTGATATTAGGCCAGACGAAGTAGAAGCTGACATCATCATGGTTTGAAAGGTGCTCGATGAATTGAATGGAAATGGGGAATTCTTCAGAGACTTCCACACCTTTAATGGTTTGATAATTAGAGGGAGCGTGTACAAGCACGAGGAGATCCAGAAGGCGGCTGGGGTTTTACCAAGTTGGACATATTTGAAATCAGATAGGCTTTAGTCCAATCTCAAGAGGGCGAAGGTGAAACCTACTGGCCACGTGATAGAAGAAAGGGGCAGGCGTGGGCTGAGACCACCACGTAGCGGAAGGAACCTTCACGATGAGTCAGTATGCCTTCAAGGAATTCAGAGATAGACCACAATTCAAGTCACTCACATATGAACTTAGCGTTGAAGCCGCAAAGAAAACCAGTGTAATCACCCAAAGAAATTTAAAATCACGTTTTTTCCCCAGACAAACGTATGACAAAGGAAAGCTATGCATGCATTTTAAGGAGGAAGGGGTAAAACTAGAAATTACTCACTACAGATTCTTGGAAGCTGATTCAGAGGAGCACGATAAACCAGTGCAGAGATGAATAGTGAAAGGGGAAGCCAAGTACAACCTAAAACACATTCAACAAAAGGGCCATTAGAAGTGATTTTCGAGAATGTTAAAGTCGAAGCTAAAGCAGTGAGTGAACAGACCGAGGACTCAAGGCATGGTACTCAAACATTCAAACACTGAATTATTACTGGACGAGAATTGTGATTTATTTATTGTAATGTCTTAGTGAAACCAGTGGTATGCTCTAAATATCAACCAGAGACAGTACACATCCTTAGCACATTTTGTTTTGTTTATCTACACATGTTTATCTTTCTGTTGCCCTAGTTAAAAATTGGTCTGTTCGTAATGTGGATTTATGGAAAATGACAAACACAGGTGTATTTCATTTGGATATGCCAGATGCCCCTAATTATGATGATAGCGAAGAAAATTCTCATGACTTTGTTCCGTTTAGTGGTGGAGTTGAAGTGAGTTTTTTCTCTAATATTCATTAATCCTGTAGGATGAGTTTCTCGAACGCGGCCCACTGAAGCCAGAAGAGTAAGACAAACCCGACATGATTCTCACATTTACAGGTTGAGTGAAGATGTAAAAACTGTAGAAATCTGTGAGGAAACGGTAAATCCGGGTCAACCTAAGGTCAGGCCTCATGACTTTCAACTTCTCAAAGTGTTGGGTAAAGGCGGGTATGGGAAGGTAATACATATATTTTCCATGAGCATGTTTGTAGGTTTTCCTGGCAAGGAAAAATGATACTGGTCAAACCTATGCCATGAAGGTGTTGAAGAAAGCCTCAATCGTAACGAACGCGAAAGATACAGCTCACACGAAAAGTGAAAGGAATATCCTCGAAATGATCAAAGCAAGTGTTGAAATTATTATTTTTATTTTGTAGCATCCATTCCTAGTCCAGCTACATTATGCCTTCCAATCCCCTGGGAAGCTTTATCTAGTCCTTGAATTTTTAGCTGGGGGTGAACTTTTTATGCAACTTGAAAAAGAGGGTGTATTCATGGAGGACCAGGCTAGGTATGTTTTATGTTTGATATGGATATCTACTGTTTAATATTAATGCAGCTTTTTATTATACTGAGTGGGTTAAGCAATTCTCCCATACATTCAAGATTTAGGTGCACATATTTCAGTCGAAGGGTTATAAACTTGCAGGACCGTTTTGTTGTATCCTGATTACACTACTGTTAACACAACTAGCCTTTGTACGGAATTTTCTTTTACGCTTACATGATGTTTCTAAATGGAGAACTGCGTGTGCCTAATCTTGCTCCAAGGTACAGAAGCTTCCAATATTTGTGTTCATGATAACTTCCAACACTACTCTTTCCGCCAATAGCACTCCCCATTTTAATTATTGGAATTTCTACCTATCTTGCACCTCATAAATCGTACTGAAAGTCAGTAGTTGGGGGCGTTTACTTCGTGTGATGCATGTCACTAGAAACCCAAGCAATCGTCCTTGGTATTGTGCTATAAGTATAATCAGCAGCCCATCTATTGATAAGTAGTATTAATAGAGGTAACTGGACTGTTTTCCACTTGAGATACGTCAGTAGGTATAATAGTCACTGTAGTGAGCCATTTTTTGACTCTTTATACGAATGACTGAGCCTAAAACAGTGCGACAATATAAGCTACCATACTACGGAAATAGAGATAAAGGGCATAAAAGACTGCAATAGATGAGTAGGGTCAGATGTACAGCAGTGATAAAGTGAAGATTGACGAGAACTTTCAGAATGTGAATGATGCACCAATGCATATGTTTTCAAGAAGTGTTTCTACCAGTTCTTAGCATCCCAAGGGTTGCACTTGTGCTGCCTGCACTTCTCTACTTTTCTCACACTAATAGTCTGTGACTCCATATGTTGACCCTATGTTTTCGTCTGGACCAACTAGAACTGTTCCAAAGTTATACAGAATCAGTAAATATTGCTCTCCAATGTAGGTGGTCGCTGAACGGGCGCGACAGATCTTAGTCTCATACAAATCACTTGCACTTGTCTATGTGAGGGTGGTCATGTGAAAATGACAACTGGGTTTATGCTGGAGTAAGTCCAATAGGTGATGTGTAGATTACATAATTTTTAAAATTGTTTTCAAAGTCGAACAAATTTCTCACTTTCCAACTTGTTAATGTGTCCGCTTTCGTTTACATTTACAAGGTTATTCCACAAAACTTCTGTAATCTGTTGTTATTCCTGTTGTTGATTTTCGCGTCTGTGTAAAATCCGTGACAACCCATACTGCTAATACAGTATCTCATGTTTCTCATATACCTTCCACGTGACTGGCGCCGTATTTCGTCTTCACCTAAGTATGTTGCATAGAAAGTGTGTTGAGCTTACTAATAACATGAACCGGTTTGGTTATGTAGATTTATACTAGAGGCAAGGTTGTATTTTCGAAAACAAGTTAAGCAAATAACGATTAGAGAGACTATACTTTGGCACTGTAAAGCCGGACTCCACTGATTCCTACCTTGGGGATAATAAAGTAATTGAATGCGGTGCCTACTTCAGTTATTTCAGAATTTGTATAAATCTCAATAGACCAATTACTGATTTAATCACATGTCGGCTACTAGAGGCTCATGTAGCATTTGTCAGTATGTCATCTCTGGAGTAGACGTGGTGTCCAGTTCTCGGCCAGAGGGCTTCTGTAATGCGCAGTAGTTGGCTCTATACACCATTAGGGCTGAGTTATGGCCGTTAAAAGTGGGAGATATGAAAAGACTAGCTGTCTTTGGAAACAGATTCTGTCTCCCTTGTTAAATATGGTAATGTTGAGGTTAAGCGTGGTGTTAGGTAAGAATGATAATTCAGTCTATGAGGTTGTGAAGCTGCATCGATCAAGATGTCTAGGACAACTGATACACGCATGGGAAGCGTTTTCTTTCCTCGTTCAGCATTGTTAGCCGAGATTGGAGGGAAGTTAAGGTTGGTTAGGTAAAAAATTAGCATCGATCAGTGGAGTCTTTGACTGTTTGTTTGAGTCACGTATGGAGGTGCAGACTCCGGCTGACGCTTTGAGACCTTGGAAACCACAGATTGGAGATTGTTGATGGCGTGGCTCAAGATCGTTCTTGGCGACCGAGATAGATTTACTCTATCATCTCCTATACCCACTAAACCTAGAAGTTTTTCCATGTTGCTACTCTTCTCTCTAATTGTTGTTTATTATAGTCCTTTTGAATAGCTTTTTGTCGCGTTTGTCTACCTTTATGCGATATATGGAGTGTAGCAAACTTAATTTCTGTGCTTCTATGTGGAGTTCCATGTCGAAATTCACAATATGACGTAGCTGAGTGATTGCGAATGTGTTGCACAAGTTTCATCTAATTCTTCTTGCACTCCGACAACATAAGCGTATCTTACTGTTGCCGTTAAATTTTTCGCCTAAATTTTTGGTAATTTTATACGATCGTTTCAGATGTCCTAGTGTAGTAATGGGGTTACCTGAAAGGTATCTGAAATTGATATGTATATGCTCTGTCTGTGTAATTCACTTGTTTTAAACTTAATGTTTTTATATTTTATTCAGTTTTTATTTGGCAGAAATCACACTTGCCATTGGCCATCTTCATTCGATGGGCATTGTTTATCGAGATTTAAAGCCTGAAAATGTGCTTTTAGACCATGAAGGTCACGTAAAACTTACGGACTTTGGTCTTTCTAAAGAGAGAGTTGATCGCGATAATTTGACTCATACATTCTGTGGGACTATTGAATATATGTAAGTTGATATTGTTTGGAGTTATGTATTATAACAGTATAAAATTCTCATTAGAATTCAACGTTCACCAAAGGGATATTGTAAAACAAGCAGTATCATGGGTATTAATTTTTCTTATCTACCTATTTGATAGTATACATTTTTTCTTATTTTGTCTACTTTTGAAAATGTCATATAAAAGGCCATCACATATTGAACTTTTAGCAGATGTGTTGGTGCTTTGTTAGCTTTAGAACCCACCAGCCAAGTAATTATTACACAGAAAGGTGGTCCAAATATAGCTACAGGGGATGTACGGTTTTCGGTGTGCGTTGCTATTGAGAAGATAATAGGCCTCAATTGGTTTAGTCGACCGAATTTCCGAGTTGGTATGGAAATCTGGGTTTTGGTCAGTGGATCACGATTAGCAGCTATTGATCACGGTAGTATCCTTATTTTTTACGGTTAGTTATGGCCCATTGCTAAGTGCTTGGACATCTGCATGATTGCGCGGAGCTATGTTTATATCCATCATTCTTCCTGGAGCTGTTTGTACTCCGATAGGAATTAAATCATGGTATTTTCAGATGTTTTTGTTAGTAATATCTGTTAAGGAAAAGTATATTCTTTTCCAGAAAGTCAGTAGGTGTTTCACTCTGTGGACGTTCCAATGTGTATCTATGTACTGATTTTATTAATTTTTCGAAGTTATGCTTTCTATCTCCAAACGTAAACTTTGTATTGCTGATTTTGCAGGGCTCCCGAAATACTTCTACGTCAGGGTCATGGAAGAGCAGTAGATTGGTGGAGTCTCGGCACACTAATGTATGATATGTTGTCAGGATCTGTGAGTTATTTCTTTAAATCACTTATTCCCATTGTATTGTGGACATAAACTGACTCGTTCCATTTTTCTTTTTCAGCCTCCTTTCACGGGTGATGATAGAAGACAGACTATTGACCTGGTAAGTGGTTCTGTTAGTTTTATTACATAATTAGTGCTTTAACGTAATTGGTGCGAAGATTTTTGCATATCAAAATAAAACTTCTGAATTATAAGCCAAACTCCAATTTGGTTACCATGATACCTGGTCGGGTTGACGTTCTTGTCAGCTCTACTGTTTTTCAAATAACCTTCTTTTATGATAACTACTAACGGTTATAGGAAATTTCGAACGGCATGAGGTCCATTCAACTTGATATGCGATGTATTCGTGAAGGTTATTTCTGTGGTTTTTTCTGTTTTTCCTTGACGACTGAGTTTCTATGTTCGCTAAAATATTTTGCACTGTATTTCTGTTTATTTAGCAAGCGGTGTATTCTTATTATCTTAAAAGATTTCGGTTTGGTTTTAGATACTACGTGGTGATTTTGTCCCTGTACCTTATTTGAGTCGTGAAGCTGTGTCACTTATATCCAAGGTGAGTTGCTGATAATAATTTTCTTAGTCGGTTATAATTTGTGTAGGTCTCATTGTCAGGAACAGCGTATTTTCATGCAGGTTAATTTAATCTTACTTTATATCTATTTTAAAAACGTAAAAAATGTCGACCGTCGTGCATACGTCGGTGGCACAGTGGTTAGGACTCTCGTCGACCATGCACATGGTCCGAGGTTCGATCCCCTGCCGACGCACACCTGATATCTATGGTCGGCCTGCAAAATTTGGGCTACCGATATCACATGCTGAAAATTCCTTAGTGATACTAAAAATACGGTGTGGAATCAACCTGTAATCAAAAAAGGATGATGTAAACAAACGTATGTTAACAGAAAACGTTTGACTTCCGTATTTCATACTAATACGTACCGCTTGATTATTTGAAAACAAAAAATATACTTTATTATTATTTAGCCAAGCTTCATGGTTAGTATAATATAATTTCCTTCTGCTGTGGAAACCACAGCATACTCTTCGATTACCACTTAGGAAACGTAGAAACAAGATAATCATCTGCTTTATTTGTTTGTTATATATGACATCTTAGGCTAATAAGTTGAAAGTGTTTATCATTTCATGTCTGCGCTGAGCATGTGTTAGTAACAAAGCTATTAAGCCTTATTCAAAAGTTGGATGTCATGGTCACCTCATCTGGTAAACTCAGTACAAAGGTTTTCTGAAACATGTAGTTGGTACTCGTAATAAAACGCAAGATGTGTGCTGTAGCTATTACTTCATGTTCGTCTCTTCCAATGCAGATTATTTTTTGCTTTTGGGATGTGTTTATAAGTCACATAGTTTTTCAGAATAGGATTATATTTCATGAAAATCAACTCATTAAAACTGAAACGCGCTTGGACCAAATTGACAAAACTATTATTATTTGTTGAAATTTATGTCGTGAATTCCTCCTGACTATTGATTGATTGATTGAGATGAGTAGTAGTATACCACTCACACCAAACAGCATTGTTTGCTGACCAAACACTGGGTGCCTCTTTCTTCCGTTTTGAGCCGAATCATTTCAAACGTGATTTCTGGCTAGCTACTTGGGCGAACTGGTTATGCTATGAATCGAATTCACAATTTCCAAATCAGTTTCAAAAGTAACTGGTGTAACTGTGTAAATAGCGAATTAATTTGCAAAATTGTGGGTTGATTCGGAAGTTGTGAATTCCGTTCCTCTAAAGTACTTAGTTCAAAAACACTGCTAAGTGGTATCAAATTATGCAACACAATGGCAGTGGTTACACCCACAGTAGCTGCATATTGATAACAAAGTGTAATCTAGGCACAAATGAAGACGATGGCTCACCCGTTATGGAAGCAGCTGTTGAGGGATTCCAACCAATGCAGACAGATTTCAAACACTAACGAGCATTTGGCGGAAAGAAAGATAACTTCAGGATAGAAATAGAAAAAACCGCTTGTTTTTAAAGTGAGTCTATGAAATGCAGCACATCAGTAACGAAACTTTCTAGGAGGGGGTGACATATAACTGAGTAAATTGTACCTTGGTTCTAAGTTGGATTACGAAGTCAGGCTCGTCTTCTTTTCTAACTCACACCCTTACGCCATTTTCTTACGCCTTACTTGTGACCTTGAGCTATATACAATTTGAACTGTATTGTAATAATTCATACTATCTTGCCTCCTAAATAAATGTGTTTGATAAGTACGTGTGTAATCAGAATGTCCGTAATGAGTCGTGCAAATAAATTACATGCTCCAGATGAACTGCGTCTCATTGTTTTGTCGAGATTCATATGACTGACTGACTGTTTTCAACATACAACTTTGCATCTATATGCAGCAGTTCAAGTCGCCATACTCCCTCCATGTGGCACACAAAGCAAGAGGAAGTAAAAATAAATGCAAAATAGATACAGTAAACGGAGATATAAGGCACAAAGAATAGTAACGTCGAAGAACAATATATTTTTATTGGGTATTATCAGTCGCAAGGAGTGGATGCATCTGCGCCTCTGAGAACGATTTTGAGCCATATCACCAATTGTTTCCAACCATTGGTTTTTACCGTCCTGAGGACCCCAACCGGTCAGTTAGTCTACACCTTCCTACGTGGCTTAGACTAACTGTTGTAGATTTCATTAACTGGTGCCATGTTTTGGTTTGACCGTCGCTAGCTCTTTTCCAACCTGACCCTATATCAGCTAACATTGCCCGTCAGTCAAGGAAGGTGATGACTAGGCATACGTAACATATGTCCTAACCATGTCAGTCTTTGTAATTTCACAACCTCGTCGATTGATTTCCCCTACTTACCTAGCGCTCGACGCCTTACTTCAATATTGCTCACCCTATTATACCACTTCACACGGGAGATAGAGTACAGGCACCTATGATCAAAGGCAGCTAGCTAACCTCTTCACGTCTTCCACTTTGAATGACCATGTCTCATGATCATAAAGGAAGACGGAGCGGACTGATGAGCAGTACCAGCCGCCCCTTGGCCGACAACCAGTCAGATATCACGTCTACGCTAGAGACGGCGTAAACTGGCATGTGTGAAACTAGCCCTCTGTATCCGTCCTGAGATTTCGTCAGCAACCAACCCATTGGGGCTGATGTAATTCGCCAAATAGGTGAAGTAGTCAACACGCTCTACCGCTTCAGTGCCTATTTCCAAGCTAGGAGTCAGTGTGGTTCAGTCCTGTAGCATAATTTACATTTGACAAAAGGAGCGAATTGCATGTCAAACATTCGCAGACTTCGGTTCAAGGTGTTCAGAAAACTGTGCATTTTGTCAGCGTCTTCACCGAGATGTGAGGACTATATCGTCTGCATATTTTAAGTCAACGAGATTATTCCCTGGTAATTAACCAATCCCTGAGTCGCTGAATTGAGTTAGTTAGGGTTAAGTCCATTAGCACATCTATGATGAAATTGAATAAAAATGGGGATTGTGGGGATTCCTGTCAGACACCACTAGTTGTTATCACTTCATATGACAACTCGCCGCAAGCTCCCACTTAGCTGGCTGCATGGATTCAAGTAGAGTGTATTTTCTCGGCATTCTTTTTACAGCCAAACGTCGCCAGAGTCCCTCTCGGTCGACAGAATCAAATGCCGCCTTTAGGTCAAGAAATATAATGATTGTTGGGAGCCGGCAGGAATGCCCATGTTCTAGAATCTGTCGAAGGGTGAAGATATGATCAATACACCCTCTTCCTGGTCTAAAGCCTGCCTGGCTCTCTCGTGTTTGTGCCTCCCGAGCACCACTTAGTCTACGCAATATTATTGATCATAGAACTTTAGATACCATATTAGTCAAGATAATCCCCTGTGATTTTCACAGGAAGACTTGTTTCCCTTCTTTTATATTGTATATTGACAGTAAACTGTCTCCACCGAGCTTAAACACCTCAGGAGTCATTCCATTCGGTTCCACAGCTTTGCCTCATTTCAGACTAGTGACGGCTTTTGTAACCTCAGTTAGGGATGGAGGACCTGTGTCTGTATCCCATTCAGGTAGGTGTTGGATGTTTGGCAGGTTGGGTGTGGCTGTAGGCCAATTAAACTGCTCCTGAAGGTGCTCTTTCCAACGATCCAGTCGTCTATCCTGGGTGCTGATTATGGTGCCATTTTTCTTAGGGATTGTTTCACTTACCATTTGAAAAATTCTTACACAATGCCAGTAACTACTTTTAGTCTAGTCGCTATCCTAACAACCTTCCTGGCATGGTATGACCTGCAGGAACAATAGTTCCAACCAGTGTACCTTGTTGTGTCATTGTGATATGCAAGCCCGACCACCACATCAAGACAGCAGCTATATCTGGCGAAATTCATTTAGAAGTGTCAGATGTCTGGTATGAAACTACCTGGCACATTTGTGTCAGTCAAGGTACAATAAAAATAGTAGGTGCGTCAAGTGCTCCAGTCCTTCAGTTAAACAGTAATTGGTGGCTGTATTGAACGCATTACTGGGGCAATAAATTCATAATTGCAAATGACATACATGCGTTCTGTTCATGAGATCTGTTCTTAGAATATTCCGAACTTCCTTGCTCAAGAACACGTGAGGCATTCACGGATTTTTTTCATAATTTGGATTCAAGCCAGTGCTACGTATTCGTGGCTACTTATGAAAGTGTTGATTAGTCTGTAGGAAATAATTCACATAAACTGCAAAATGAAACTTTGCAGTAATGCAATGAATAACAGTAAGTATTACTCAATTGGCTTCAGACATATAGGATATTCAGATTATAAGCGTCTCGTGGTCGGACTAAATTTTCACATATCTTTATCGAGAAATTTTGCAGGATTGCACTTTCTTATATCACTATGATGTTTGTATATATTCCTCGGAATACACTCGACGTTACTCCAAAAGCTGTCGTGAAAGTTATCTTAATCGGGAAATAATCAGTAATTGTCGTTAATGTAGGTTATGAAGTAAGTGTAGGTGTATTCATGCATGATGTATTTTGGGATATTGGTAATTATATACGGGAATGATTCCCCTTTAGTCTTTCTTTGTAAAACAATAAGCTATTAATTTTGACTCAGGAAACTGTTTACGTTGACTTGTTGTTTTTTCAATCATTAATTGATTGTTGAATTTTGTATACATTTATGTGAGTAATGAGTGGAATTTTCTTTCAAACAGCTGTTAGTTGTGGACGTCAGCAGACGTCTGGGTTCTGGACCGTCTGACTCAGAGGCAATAAAAATGCATCCGTTTTTCCGCAACACTGACTGGGATCGTGTACTGAAAAGACAAGTTGAGCCACCGTTCCGACCTACTTTAACATCTGATACAGATGTTTCCCTTTTTGACCCCAAGTTCACCCAAGAAAATCCTGTTGAAAGTCCTGATGAAGGTTTACCAATATCTGCAATGGTTTCGGATGTGTTTGAAGGATTTACTTATGTTGACCCACAAATTCATATTGATATGGCCCGTGATCCTTGGGTATCTACCTGGCAAAGCAGTTCACGTTCGCGTCGAAGGTCTGGATTGTCTTCTAGCAGGTAGGAAAATTGACTTTATTCGTGCAATTTTTAGCTAATGTGATATCATTGTTTCCCAACTTCATTACACTTCATTTTACATATTTAGTTGACTGCTGGACATAATCTTTTGTTTCCTGTCTCTTTTAGTTCTCCGGGCTACGTTGGGCATACTATTATGGCTAATACTAGTAATCTTATGCAAGGAACTGATATGCCACATGTCGGGACCCCTCATCCAGAACAGTTGCAGTCCACTTTACCTACTAATATGCCAAATACTATTCAAACATCAATTCCGACGCAATCACAACAGCCGTTTGTTTTCGCTGAAGATTTTGAGGATATGGACGTTGGTAGTACCAGCATGACGTTTGGGAACAACTCAGCTGATGGTCCAGCTGCTGTTAACACTGTTAATATACCCACAGACAACTCCAGACTTATACATGGTTTTCCTTTCGTAGGTGGACATCGAATAGAAAACAGCCGTCCAATGGAGACTGGTAACTGTGAAACTTATTCTACACGCCCGGGTGAACACGTCAATGGCATAGTCACAAAACCACTCGACACTCGTTTAATGCATCCATCTAGTTCAGCTGCTGCTCAGGCTTCGGCGCTTGCTGCAGTTGCTCTTGCTACTTCATCCCGTTTGGCAGGTTCTTCTGTACACACATTTCCTACAGTTACATCATATAATTCTCCACTTCGACCTCTCGTAAGTGAACATGTGATCTATGATCCCCAAACAATTAGACCTATCAACTTGGGCAAACCTCAGCCACATACACCGTTGGCCACAGTTGATAACTCACATACTCAGAGAAAATGATTCCCATTCATCAGAGAAGAATACCATCTGAAGTTCATAAAATATCTCAGGCTTATTCATAAATTTCCTTGTTGTATACGAGCCGAGTCATCTGTTACGCACTACCAGCGCCTAGTTTTAATTCACGGGTGTCAAAATCTTAATGCTAACTGTCCTTTCTTCATCCCTTATTTGGTTTATGTAACTGGTAAATCATTGTATCAGTTCATTTCATTACGTATTCTTATCCCAAACAAGCTCATCTGTGACAGTTTTTCTTCTTGTCTATTAGCTTGCATATACTGTTCACAAGATTCTGCTGTTTGTTAATCAGCTGATATTTCTCGACTCAAGACAATGCTTCTGATTTCTATCAAGGAGTACGTGCAAACCAACTCAGATAGTTTTGTAAACATAATTTTTCATTGTTTATGGATTTTACTCCTTAGTATGTTATTCGTGAATCATTCATAACTAAGGTTTAATCACGAAAATAACCCAATTATAAACAAGGGATTAGTATATTCCCTAGCGTCACATTTCTTTTTGTCGCTATGCTAATCACATATGTGTACTAATGAATATATTGTTATTTTTAGCCTACTGACTGTCCTTATTTGTTCATCTCTTGGATGTTCAAATTTTTACATGTTCATTTGCAGTACGCTCGGCAAATTAAACGAATTCTTCAGATATAACATACTTTATATAGATACTTCACAATCTAGGTTATTTCACTTAAAATCTTTTCAATACCGTTGCCCAATTTTTGTATCCTTCTCATGTTATGCATTAACACAAATGTTTAGTGTTTTTTTTAATTATCTTGTCTGCCTTATCCTTCAGTTTTAATCTATTTGTCAAGCTAGCGAATGGGCAATTCTTTGTGTTCGCAATCATGTATTTATTCTTTTGAATTGTTGAGCATTCCTACCTCGAAGTATGTATTTCCTCCTACGTATATTTTCTTGCTCTTCAAACAATCTTTGTTCTTGGAATTATTTCCTCCATTCTTTTCAAAAAGATATTTTTTTTTGGAGCACCATATGTGCCTCTTTTTGTAACTTTTGGTATCTTGATAGGCTTTGATTACTTGCCGACGTAGTACTGTGAAGTCTTATTATGTATTGTTTGTCAACTATAAATTATTCCCTCTCATGGTGTTTTCTTGTAGAATTTTTTTTGTTTTTACTTTATTCTTTACTTTACAGGGCTTCCTGGTACATTATGTAATTTGATTGTTGCTTCACGATATGATTAAGGATTATCTGTTTTTCTTTCTCTTGACTCTCAACCGCTTAATTTGGGCTCCTGATTTATTAATGTTTTTGTGAACTTATGCTTCATTGTTTTGGTATATATATATTCGTCTTTAGCACTGTATTGTTATCAACTAGTAGTGTTGGTGTTACATCATTTACGAAAATGGAATGCATACTGCTGTCGTTGATGAAAAAAAACTAATTATTTGAAAGCAATACTAATTTTTCTTATTTCAGAAATCCCACTTTATTTACATCCGATTTTTCTGTCTTCCTCTTACGAAGAATCTTTGTGACTGCCTTCTATCGGTGATTCAGACAAAATACATTCTTACTTGCATAGTTACTCTTTTAATTATTTGGTTGCATTGTAATGTAGTGCCGTTGTTCTCGCCGTTAGGTGCATGGAAAATTACCCGAAGATGTTTGAAAATTATTTGTACTTCGAAGTATTTGTCCCTGATATAGTAGCCTTTTGAACTACTTTAAGTGGGATTTTGACCGCAACGTGGAACGCATTTTGGAATAAAACTACTGATTTTAGCTTTCGAATATTTATTTTCCATCCAGAGTAAACTTAATGTATAAGCAGTGCTTTAGGAAAGCTGAACATGTTTGAGATTAGGATAGTAGTCACTGTTACATGTTTTACCGTCTGATTGTGGATGTTTTGAAATCAAGTCAAATTTTGTAAGCTTGTTGTACCTGATGTAAAAATGCTGAGGTGTAAATAGGAATTACGATAATAACCGAGACTGACGTTATTGGTGGTGAGTTACTTCACTGAAATTTATAATACATAATAGCTATTTGTAGAATGGACTTCTAAGTTTCTCATATACACCTAAATCTATATAAAAAGAGATGAGTGTAATGTACGTGGAAAGAAATGATTTATTACAATTCCAAGATCGATAAATAGTTTGCATTATTATGAATATGTTTTTTTTAACTCTTATAGAGGAAGATGAAGCGATCATTCTGCGAGGATACAAATCCGAATCATATATCATGCGGATCTACCTCAGAGTTAGATGCAACCCCTACTAGTTGTAAACGTTTGATCTCAGCTGCGTCTGAACCTGTCTCCTTCATTCGCATCACTTCTTTGGAGGAGCTAGACAAACGGGCATTGCAACTACAGAATAAAAAGCTTTGGGAGGCTTTGATGGAACGTCGTGCTGCCATTGCTGAGCTGAAAGAACGTATCGAACATTTAGAAAACCGTCAAACTAAGGATGACGCTCTGCTTTGCGTAGTCAATCGCTACTGGAACCAGGTGACGTTAATCTCATTGATAATAAACTTACCAATTTAGTACTCTATGTAATAGATTTCAGTAACTCAAACGGTCTATGTCGTTTATTGCTTTGTCAAATCACATAGTTGTCTCTTCACCGTTGTTAGTTACGTAAGCAAACATTTTGCAGGCTAGTTACTTTCAGGTGTAATATTAAGTATCATTATGTAGATATTCTCATATTTCAAAGTTGGCATTGGGTTACCTATTGATAGTATATAGCTGTAGCATTCAAGTTCAACAAGATAGAATATTTATTGTAAGCGGTTAATCATTTTCTCTAGATTTCATTTCCTTTAAGTTTCTCCAAGTTTTCGTATGATTGTCAAAATAAATCTGCGTAAACTATTTACAGCGTAGTTAGTATTAACTACTGTTTGTCATTTGTTGTTATTTCTCAGTATCTAGATGCTCCTTAAGGTTTGCTTGTAATCGAATAACAGAATAATTCTCTGTAACTTGTCGAATTCTGATGAATAATTGGAAAATTAGTCTATGAAATATCAACTAGGTGGCAGGAAATGTCTTTATAGGTATTTATTTATTTATGCTAATATTAACATTTTACTCTCAGGGTTTCCAATCATCTGATCACATAGTCTTTATCCACCACACTGTCATCTCAAAACCTATTAAGAAGTTTTGGTGCAACTTTCTCTTCCTAAAATTTTAGAGACGGTTGGGTATACGCCATCGTATAGCTTATGGGAACTAGCTCCTTATTTTGATTCTCTGTGTGTTTGGATGGGGCATGCGCGATCGGCTTAATCGAATCCTGCTATTTCAGTTAACTCCAAGTATGCCTAAAAGTATGAATGAACAATTTGAATTTTAAATAATTCTTAATTGCTGCATATCTTGTTCTACGTATGTTTAGTTGCATACTAACGAATTTTCTATTTTGTTGTGAGTTTAACAAGTTAATGTTAATTTGATTTTCTTTTGAAATAATAGTTGGACGAAGATAGCTTGATATTGCTGCAACGTTTCGACTCAGATGCTGCTGAAGAAGAAAGTACGTACATTAGTTCAATCAATTTGAATTCGTTCAATGACTATTGTATCTTTTCTAATTTCAGAATTCAGTTTTTGTTCTAAAGATCTCCAGTCATGAATGACACACTAAATTTGGCTTGCCATATTCACATATACATACATCAATTGTTACATCTAACAATCCAACAACTGACTTTATTTATTGTAGCAAAATGAACTTACTCTAAGATTTGTTGTTATTACTGTTCGCGTAGTTTATAAGCAGGGTTGCAGGAGTTGCTAAAATGTGTTATTGGAAATAATACAGTATTGCCTCACTAATGACCTCTGTCAGGTTTCATTGTTTACGTGAAATAAGCTGTATATGTTAGCATATGACTCCTTCATATAACCTCTTAGTGAAATTTGATCTCATTTTGATGTTGTCTAATTGGTGATAGCAATAAAATGCATGATCTGCATTTCATCACATTCAGAACTCGTCTTTCGGTGTTCCAGAATCCTACTTCGTGATATCTACATTATGTCGCGAACTACGCGCACACTTGAAGCGCTAAAGCGTTATTCACTGAACTACCAGGTTGCTATCAAAATGAAGCTTATATCATTATCTCAGCTGACAGTGTTCATAAAAACAAACAATTAGGAAATTCATGAGTTTTAATGAATAACTACTGTCGCCTGCAGGGAAACTTTTGGTTTTGGTGGTTGAGTAACCGAACTGGATATCCAACGTAGCATTTCGCACAAAATTACGGTAGTTCAAGTTGCCAGGCTTCATAAAAGCCACGTAAACGTAGAGAAAAAAGAAATCCAAAGGAGCTACAACAAAGGAAAATGTACAGGAGAAAAGATATTTACGTGTAGAATATTGAGAATTCAACAGAAGTGGTTGAGTAGCCTGTTGAATATAACTTTCGTTTGAAATGGTGAAAACTCTGCTGAAGTCTCAGCATATCATTACTTATTCAAGTGGCTGATCATTCCCCAGTAGGCAACATTTACTTCCCATACAAAATTAAAAAGAAGACAACAAACGTTAATAAAGAAGGATTTGATGAATTCATCACATTTTTGTAAAACTTTAGCTAAATACTATATTGTTGTATACACTGTGAGATATGTCACATATCTCTTTGTTTGAAACGCAGTTCAAAAGACGAAAATCTGATTATCATCTCATCTTCACTTTTTCAATATTGTTTACTGTTCATGTTTACAGTTTCAACGTCCACAGAGTCATTTCTGAAACAGTTGGCTTCATGGGACAAAGAAGAAGTTCCTGACAAACTTCAAGAACGAGTGCATTTCTCCAAGCGAATTATTGCCCGTCTCCTCGCCACATACGAAAAGTAAGTCATACCGATCACTTTGAAAGCCAGTGTCGTGTTTCATTCTTTCCAATGCTTGCTCAAGATATTCGGTTCATAGTCGGCTTACCAGTTTGAAATGCACTTCCTTTATACTTTGTTTAAAAGTCTTTTCTTGTACTTTGATGTGTAGTGTGTTTAAGCATATTTTTAAATTTATCCTCTGCTGTATTTATTACTGCTTTTACAGAATGGTTATTCATCAAAATCGAATGCGTCAACTACTTGGGAGCTCAGCTGAAGGGAAATCTGTAGCATCTGAGACTGATAACATACCGACTCATTCTGGTTCTTCAGTTCCTTTTAACTCATGCAGTACTGTACCACCTTGTGAATCTGATGCCAGTACTCATTCAACTGCTTCATCTCAAGGGCCTGTTCCAGTCTGCGATAAGCTTAGTTTGAAGGATCTACAAGAGGAAATCTCACTTTTAAACAAAGAGAATGGCCGTCTTCAAACTCTTTGTACTAATTTGCATGCAAAACATAGACAGAGCATTCTTCGAGTATGTGGAGGATTTTGGTTTATATATTCGGAAATATTTTGTGCCGTTTTTGATATTCATTTCAGTAAGCGCGCATCGTTTAGTTAGTCAGGCAAATAAGCTCTTTTTTCACCATCAATCTTGTGAATGTTTTCAGTAAGTTTAAGAGTGAAGTACTGTGGTAAAAATTGATGGCGTCTATTGTACTATGATTATTACGAGTACATGGTATGTCACATTCAAACTTAAAGTATACTAACGAGAGATCAGGTTTGTTCGATGATATATGTACTCAGTAGTTTTCTTTGTGGACTTTTGAAATTCACTTTTTTTGGATCTTAAAGAACCTTTTGTGTAAAACACGCTACATAAGATTGTAGATTCCATAACCACCTGAAGTCTAAGCACAATTTCGGGAAAAGCTAGTGGTCATTAGACCCCAGTATCACTAATTCTTTAACTTGCTGGTTTCAAGGTTGATTTCTGTATGATTATGTAACAACCACAGAGAAACAGCAACCTACAGAATGGTGCAAGTTTTGAAGTATGCGCTTCAATGATTTAGCTAACAGGATGAAATCTGATGACCGTTTGGTTTTCAGTTTCTCTTAATTAACAATATATGGTCTATTCTGTTAGCTTTGTGAATGTGACCTGGCAAACAGTTGAAAAAAATGTTTGATAGCTTAACATCACACCACTCGGAATCCAACAGCAGGACATAAGATCGATTCGTGTCTTGTTATATCGGGTGTGTTGTCGTATTCTGTCATTTGTTTCACTTTTTCTTCTTTCGTTCGGTAATATTTTACTTTTTTGTTTTGTTTCTTTACCTCTCCTCATATTGTGTTTTGAACTCTATGTGGTGTGTTAACTTGGTCAGTTTCACTGTAATGCTAGGACTTAAATCTTTAAGTGGTTTACTGATGAAGGAGTTCAGTGTAGCTTTTCGACCTTTTGCTTGCAACAAGATAGTAGTGGTTCAAGTTGCAATCCAATACATTATTCTGATGAACAAAGTATTGATTTTTCGGTGATTTATAGTTTTTGTAATATTGCTTTAATGCTGATCTAAATCTCCTAAAATTGAAGGCTGAAGTTCTTATCTGTTGATTATTCTCATTGTTATGCTAAGCTGTCCTAAAGCATTAATTTAAGAGTAGTTGATTATGGTTTAACATAACTAAAAATATGCTAATCATCTTCGCAGCATGTGATAATTTCTTTTTGTATCCACGTGTGCCGTAAATTATTTTATTCTCCTCAGTAGCGGATCATTGTATATAGTTAAAATAAGATTTCAACGGCACTTAGTATTCGCTTGCTTGCTGTGAAAAATTCGTGTGTATTTTTTCGGTTTCGTATACCTTTAATTTGTTATTATGTTTCAGCTACGTGAATTACAAGATTTAGCTCAAACTAACAGTGACTCTGCAGCAGAATGGCAAGCTAAATATGAGGATTTAGATTATAAACTTGCAGAAGCTATGAAGCAGGTTACTCGTTTGGATCATCGCTTGTATGAAGCTCAGGAACAAAATAAAAAGTTGGAGGTGGAATTAGCAGCTCTTAAATGTTCAGACTCTCCAGGTAATCGTAGAATCCTACTGTACTATTTACTGTCTGAACCACTAAGTACTTTTATGTCATTCTTCTTCCATAATTTCATGTATTATTCAACATCATCACTGCGAGATTTTCTCTTATTGATTGAATATATATAGGGAATATGAATGGTTTGTAAAATTTACGTAAGCCTAGAACCAATAGATTCATTGGGTGGGGGTTGTTAGCATGTTTGTGGGAATCAAACTTTTCCTGATATTTTCTAATGAATATAAGCGTTATGTCATGCTGTAATGTGACTAAATTCTTTTCTCGAATCACTATTGTTAACTATTATTGCGTGATAATCGCGTCCGGCGTTGATTATTCTAAATACAAACATGTAATGCTCATTGTTACTGACGTGTAACGATCTGTTGCAATAATAATTGGTGTATCTGTTATCATGTGCCTGTATATGCACGATGTTTTATTCCTTTTCTGCTTACTATCTGCAATTTTCCCGTGAATTTTCCTCTGTAGTGTAGTGGAATTCGGGCAGATAAATGCATTAGTGTTCTGCACTCCCACTGGTCCACACAGATTAAAAATTACAGCGGAAACGTACTACAGATATTTAAAATCAGTACACTGTAAAGTATAGAGGCAGAATCAATTGTTTAGGATTTTTTAATCTCAATAAGAATACAACTATTTGAGGGCATCGAATTTTTTCCACTGAAACGGGATTATTTGCTAAAGTTGACATTATAGTGTACATATTATTACCATCCTGTATGTGTATGATATTGGCGGTAAATTGCTTCGTATTTCTTTATCATTGATTCTGTTTTGGTCAAAACTAAGTAGAAGCAGAAATGCTGTTTATTATTATTTTTTACTACTAATCGTATCTTCATCTTACTGCATGTCTGACGTGGCTGCTTTTTTATCCATTGAGATTTTTATCTCGTGTTTTTTGCTTTTAGTCTAAAGATGCTCATTTTCATTCCTCAGGTCGTGATGATCCTTCAAATAGCGGTGGATCAGTTACTAAAAACAAGTATAATGATTTAGCTTGTGAACTAGAGGAATATCGTGAGCTATCAAATAACCGTATGAGCGAATTGGAACGTCTTCAGCGCCATTTAGAAGACAAAGTGGCTGAGTGTGCCTCACTCAATATGCAAGTTAGTTTTTTTTGTTTTCAATGCTTTTTTGAAATTGTAAGATTTCTGTAATAAGTGGTTGCTTACAGTTAGGTGAAAGTTCTACATCTACTATTCCAAACAGTGTGCTTTTGTAAGGTTACTATTCTCGTCTTTACTCTAATATTTAGTACGTTGGGTCATCACCTTTTGATATTCGATAATAACGTTATCTGAGCATCGGTTACACAATAATTCTGTTTATCATTTCTTGGTTACCAGTTTGGTGGTTCAGTCATTTCGTAACATGCATAAATCAAAGTAGATTTTCATTCGAAAAGATGTATATCGTTACCATACAAAAATAGGATGTTGTAAGTGACTGATTTATTTTCTGTTACTGAGTTAGTTGTATTTTATTTATGCGTACCTTTTGTTTGTTATTTTTGTTGTTGTTCAGCTGCGGGATATTCCTGAAAATATCATCTTAGATTCTCCACAGTACGTTTCCCTTAAAACGCAGTTCAACATTTTGTACAACGAAGCTATTCATCTCAGAAGTCAGCTGGAAGAAGCCAGAAATACTATTCAAAATAATAGACACAGTCATTTAAAACAGATAGAAGAAATGGAGGTAAGTCGTCCAAATTTTCGACTTAGCATGCATAAATAGATATATCTCCAAATTTCATTTTCTGAGTTATAACTTGTTTTTACATTGAACTCCATCAACAATTTGAAGTAGTTATAGAAATTGTTTAAATGGTTAGTAATAAAAATAAGAGTACACTTGTTTGCATTTGTATGTGGTATGACGCGTTATTATAATACTGAATAAACTTTATCGGAAATAAATTCATCGGAAGCTAACTTCAGTATCACGTCACAGTTTCCTGATTAACTTCATCAAAACGATGGATGAATTCGGCATATGTTTCCGACGCAAACCATTATAATTCTCAGTTTACTACAGAGCATAATTAGCTGTTCCACTGGACTCTCCAGATGCGTGGATGCAGTTTGATATGAAACATTTCAGAGGATTTAAACTGAGTTTTTCACTTAGAATTTTTAAATAAGCAGAAATACAAAACTACCGAAGTACAAATTTTGACTAGTCTCACGTACAACAGTTGTGACACATGAGACGTTTCGATTTCTGAAAGGTTAGTGAGGTTGAAATAAAGGTCAGCATCAGCTGCTTTTAAAATCTATGAGGTATATTTACTTGAGGAAACTATGATCGTGTGAGTTAGTTATACAATAGTGTGTAACACGTAGCAAAGCTGACTGTCAAAGCGAAAACGGGCTAATTATCATTATCTTAGTCGAATGAATTTCGTTTTTGGCTATATTTATGTTTGATTTCCAACAAAATTTCAGTTTGAATGTCGTCTAATCTCAGATCATTGCTGGGACTACTCTTGGTTATATCTCGGCTGCAGTTTGTAAAAACATGGATGTAAATCCCAGCGGTATTTAACCTTTCACTAGTGAGTATTTTAACACGGTAGTTTACACGCCCTCGGTCAAGTATTGTAACTTGAGTTGTACTATTTACCACAATGTCAATAGAATATTAGGCTGATGTAACAGAAAATGGATGTTCGTCTATGAACCTTTTGAACAATAATAAGGTGAGAGTCGTACGCTTATCCAGGTAACAACTAAGAATAATGCTAGGTTATTTTTGAGTTGTCGTAGACAAGCCTTTCAATCAATAGATCGTACTTTTCAACACCACTTTTACTGGTGTTTTGGTGTTCAAGCATCTGTAACAATACTTGTGGTCCAATGTATAGTACTGCACAGTTATTCATCGTATTGTTTTTATGTGTATGCGCTAATGTTGGATGTTGATTAGGTTTTCATCATAATTAAACTGAAGTGTGTGTGTGTGTGTTTACCTTCTCAATTTTTATTAGACGAATGAAGCTGCCATACAAAATCAAATGCGGTCCGAAATGCTGCTAATAGAAGGTCAGTATTCCCAACTAAGGCATAAGTATGAAACTATGGAACTTGATTTTAAACAGGCCTTAACACACAATGAACAAGCAGGTCCTATTAGCTGTGAAATGCGCAGTCTTATTTCTACATTACAAACACAAAATAAACAACTAAAAGCCGAAGTTGCTCGATATCGTCGTAAATGTGAAGAAGCTGTACAGGAACGTGAGCTGGTTAGTTTTTATATCTTTTAATATTTTTTAAAGATCTTAATATCCCTTCTGTCTTAATTAAAAACTCAACAGTAAGGTGCGACTTGTCTTCTGAAGATTCTAGTAACGTTATTTTGAAATCCAAATAAGTAATTATGTAGTTTATCCTTCTGTATCTAAATTCTTATGAAAGTTTTTGGCTAAACATTCTTAGTAATTTCGTACTATCATGTTTTACAACTACTGTATCAACCTTCGGAATGCAATAGAAAATTCCGAACATTTAGAGCAAAGTGAATAAGCGAAATACCTGGGTTGTGGTATCGAACATGTTATCGTATCAGTACAGTACAGAGAGGGAACCACAACTTCTAACAAAAGCTTTTTTGTTATGAAATGTTAAACACCTCTTTAAATAAGTGATCACTTATAACTTTTGTTGTTGGTTTATCGTTCGCGATTCGATAATTGAAATCTACTAGTCCCTGTCGATATATATATATATATATATATATATATATATATATATATATACTGTTTTGTATCAAATTTAATGTTTTCATTCGATATTCTTTTAAGATACGCACTGATTTGAAATGCACAGAGGACGAGTTGGCACATGTTCGTACGGCACTTTCGGAGGCTACTGCGGCTGTTATTGCTGCTAGCGAAAAGTCAGAGCGATCGACACCATCGACTCCACAAAGCTCAAATCTGCCTCCAAGCACAACTGCTACGGGACCAGATGTACGTATTTCTTTAAAATCGTGTTCACAAACTAATGTTATTTCTTGTAATCTATCTGATATGCTATGTTTTATGTCAATATTTAAATTTATTTTCATCATATGAATTTCTCTGCAGTGTATTTGCATTGCGTTACAAAGGAAATGTTTGTTCCATTGATCGTTTGTTATTTCTGTATTCAACTAAATTTTAAATCCATATTGTAGTTGAGTAACTCAATATGTCAAATAGTTAGTATTCATTGATCGTATTGTCTTTTATTCGTATTTATCAACTTTCTACTCAGTTTATGATATATAGGATGCTTGTTGTTGCTGTAAACTTTTAGCGTTTTTTTCTCATTTGAAAATTTTAAGACTTCTGATACTAAGAAGGTATTGTGTGAAGCATCACTGTCATTTAAATGTCTCAGACTGTATGGCTGTTGTAGCAAGTAATGGTACCCTTTAGCATATGGTTTACGCAATTTTCATACTTTTCAGGTCGCTTCGCCGCCTCTTGATGTGGATGTAAAGTTAAAAGTACCAACTTCAACAAAGGTGGAAGAAGGCAACGATAGTGGTAGTAATTGTCAGAAACTTGATTCCCCCAGTTCATCCACTGTACAGACTGCTACTGTAGCTGCTTCTAACTCCAACATTAATCCGTCTACAACTGATAAAGTTGTCAAAATGGTGAGTTTGATAGATGATAGTAAAATGATTTGTTTAAAATATATGTTTTCATCAACTTAAAAAATCTACAGTACTTCTGTAACTTTCTTTGTGGTGATGTGGTTTTGAAATTTTATAGTGTAAGAGTTCCACACATTTCAGTCTAAGTGTATAAGTTAATCAGTTATTGATATATGCTTCATTCCATCATTACTTACCCGCGTCCTACACTTGTCCTGTTTCTTGACTGTAAGTGGATTTTCAACTCTTTCGACCGATAGGAACTGTGACAATATTTGGCTGTGAAGGAAGTGTCGAGAAAGTATGTCGAACGAATAGAGGCACTCTACTTCAACTGACGTGATCGTGTAAAAGCTTACAGTAAGTTTTCATACAAGGTGATGGCTATCAGTACCCGCTGTCCCCATTTCTGCTTAATTTTTATTATAGATGTTTTAATGGAATTGGACTTAACTCATTTCAGTGTCAATCTATGAGGTTATAAAGGTGAATCGATTGAGGTAGCTAGGAAATGTGGCGCCTATTTTTGAGTCATCGCATCACTCGATGAGGAATGTTAGCCGACATAGGATTGACTGGGTTGGAAAAGTGTTATGGGTGTGGTCAGACCGAATCCTGGTATCTTTTGATGAAGTTTTAACAGTTAGTTTCATCGACGTAGGGAGGTGCAGACTCCCTGATTGGGGTCATCGGGATGTGAAGAACTAATGGCTAGAAACAGTTGTGTGATGTGACTGAAAATTGTCCTCAGTGGTGAAGATGCATTCACTCTTTTTGATTTCCCATATCCATTCAAACTCTAGTGTCTCTCCATGTTACCATTTTCTCTCGCTCAACCTTCTGCTTATAGTAGTCATTTTGAATCCCTTCTTATTTTTTCTCCCGTTGTGTAGCCACTTGAAGACGCCGGCCAAATAATATGTGAACAAGAAATAATGATTAAAAAAAGAAGAAGTCAGGCGTTTACTTGTGATCATTTGCCTTTATTAATAGTCTCGAATGTTTTCACAGCAATAACAATTTATTTTCATGAAGTCTAAGAAGTTATTGTATTCTAATAGTTTATATTTGTGTTGAGCGAAGTGAACTTATCAAAATAATGTTGCATAAATTAATATTACAAATTTCTAAATCCCTTTATGCATACCCTTTTTTTCATTGCATTTTTTCTCATACTGTTTCTTGTTTTTTTTTTTTTGCTAGGAATGTTCTGAGTCTCGGTCGAATGTTTCGTGCTCATCACCCTCTAATGAAGTTATTCGTGATTTAAAGGAACAGTTAAAGTGAGTTTTTTTCAATAAATTATTTTCATTTCCATAGTCAAATTAGATGCATATTCATTGTGATTTTTTAAATCCTAGGCGTTCGCAAGAATCACAAAAAGAAATGTCTGTTCTTCTGAACATGTATAAAGTTATTCCTAAAGATCAAAGAGATAAAGCAGCACTTCTTCAGTGTGAAGCAAAACTTCGGGCTGAGCTTTCCGATGCTAAGAGTGAAATTGATAAGCTTAACAATACAATTCGAGAACTGCAAACACAAGTGAAGATACAGCAACAACGAAAGCAATCGTTAACCTCTCCAGGCGAAACTTCATTGAAAATGTCTCCTGCCGAACGCGGTTCTACCAGCCTTGGAAATATTCCCCCATCTCTTTCTAAACCGCCTAAACTTGGACTTACTTCACCAGATGAAAAAAGCACAAATTTGACAGGATCACTGCAGTCTGGAAAACCTAAGGTTTCCGCTTCTGACTGGCAGATATCTGAACTACAAATGGAACTATATTTGATAAAACGTAAAAGTCAGAACACTGAAGAACAGTTAAAACTACATCAGCAAAGACTTGCAGCAGCCAAGCAACAAGAAGATGTATTACTGAAGGAAATGGAAGTAAGCTTTAAATTACATATATTCTGGTTGCTATTTTATAACTCAGCAAAATGACATTGCTGTAAGTTATCTGTGACTTTTATTAATGCAGCAAAAAAATTCTTCATTACGCTTTAAGGTAGCTTCTATGTGGTCTTTATGGTCATTTTCCATCTCATCATACACAAACAAGTCATTTTCATGTATCTGCATATTCTTCAGATTGTTCAGTAATGAGGACATTGATCCATACGCAAATAATGCACTCGCTAATATGACAAACAATCATTTGGAGTGATATTGCTTCTGGCTAGCTCTAAAGGTTGTTTTACTTTTGTCATTTCTATTGGTATCTGCTAATGATGTGATCGTAGATTAAATAGTAATGACCAACTTAGCTGTGTGCAGATGTTCTTGTGTTTCGGTTACAGTTGGTGCTGCATACAATTTCAGTTCGGGTAGACTGTTCAGCCGTATAAAGTCAGCAAAAAAACTGCACTCAACACTTTGTGCACCTCTCTTTCTATCGCTCTTTCTAAATGCGCAGGCACTCGTCTTGTTTTAAGGGTGATATTTCTCCGATTCCTCTTCGGGATCTCATATCTTACGTTATCATAAAAACAGCAAGGTTCTCCCTTGGCTGTGAATAAGGTAGTAACTAACTAGCAACTAACTTACTAATAATTGGTATTTCCTCAGCGTTTTTTGCTTTTTGTATTTTGCTTTTGTGCCCATAATATTGTATATCCTGACTCACTTTACAGTGGTCAGGATATAGCAGCAACATCTTCATACGAACACATAACCCCAAAGATTACTTCATGTAGGTTGTGTATGACCGGCCTCAGACAGTTTTACCCCCGGACTCTGTGGTCGCGCAACACTAATTCTCTTTCTAGAGATTTTCGAGTTTTGAAACAGATTTCCCAACCATTTTGGAAAAGTTAAAATGAAATTAGTTTGATAAATCTGTTTTCTTAACTATTCAAAATTTAAAAAAATAAATATTCCTTTTATTAAGATAACTGTTCAAGCTTTTGAAGATGCACAGGAACAGAATGTTCGTCTTGTTAAAACATTGAGAGAGAAAGACGATGCTCATTTGAAGTTGATGGCAGAACGAATGAAAGCTGCTCAGCTTGCACGTTTATTAAAGGAAGACAAACAACTTTTAGAAGAACAGATACGTCTTATGCAGGCCAAAATTGAGGCGCTCAACAGAGCTGTTCTTAAACAAGAGGAGAAAGTAAGTCGTTTTGTTTTTTTATTCAAGTAATGTTTAACATTGAGGTTTTTAAAATCATTGGGATTTAAAATTAGATTTTTACGGCGGTTTCAGTCTTAAGCATTTCGTTCTGTTTATTTCAAAAGAGCTATGCAAGCTTATCTACTTTTGTATTGTGATATTCTGATCACTCCTAGTTCTTCCGCCGTGGTGTATGTGTCTACCAATGTACTATATTGCATTTTTAAGTTTCAATTTTTATACATTAATTAGTCATTCATTTTATCTTTAGTGCTGTTCTTATGTGTGTTTCATTTTATGTTCTAATATTCCTGTTTATATTACTGTTGACGACAGGAACGTTTATTGTTAACTAATCTGGCAACCTTAGAAAAAGAAGCATCAGCTAGACAAAAGTCTCAAGAGGCCTATAAACGTAAGGCCTTGGAAAGTCAACAAATTTCTGAAGATTTAAGAGTCACTGTACAAAAGTATCAGAGTCAACTTAAAGATGCTCAAACTACTGTTCAAGAAAAAGCTTCCGCCTATGAACGTGTTTCTTTCGGTCATCAACGTTTACAAGTTAGTTATTGGATTTTTTTAAAATTTCATCATTATCATCACTTATTCAAGTTGACATCACGAATTGCTTCTAAACCTATTTATAATTATTAGGTCAACGTTTGCAGCAAAATTATTATTGAGCATACAATTTTATTTGGCTTTTATTTCGTATCATGTTATACATTTCTTAATATAACTGTTTAATCTTAAGCCAACGATTTATTTTGTTTTCGTGTAATACATGCGGTCTTTAAGCAAAATGATATGCTCTAATGATTATAAGCTTATATTTAATTGACAATCGGTGTCTATGTGAAAAGGTATGTTTCACCCGACAGTTGCATACGTCATTTCTTACGTTATCGTTTTGACAAACTATTTAAGTACTTTCTAAATAAAGACATGAATACGTGTGCAGGTTTTTTTATGAAAACCATTAAAGTGTACACTATTCTTCTACTTAGAATTAGGAAGATCGATTTTATTAGTATGTAAGATGCATTAAAAATTTTGTTAAAAAAGACACGTTTTCACCTGTCACAGCTTCACCTTTTTAAGCTGGTATGTTGTATTCTGTGCTCATCATGTATTAGGTTTCGTGATAGGCACTCAATAGCGTATGTCCATGCTTCACACTTTTTTAATAAAAAAATAGCAACCGTAAATGTTTAAATACTATCTGGTTGAGGAATTGTATTTTACTGTTTTGTAGGAAGAACTTGTTACTGTACGGCGAAAATATGAAAGGTTGCGCAAAATTGAACAATCGCATAACGCTGATGAATTTCTGCTGGCTGAAATACAAGATTATAAAGTATGTTAATAAAAGTTAATCCAAGAGATTCTTGTAGTATTCATATTTTTGTTGATCATATTGTCCCGACCGAAAGCTGCTACTTTGACGTGGTGGTCGGGCTTGAACACCGCAATGACCTAATCAAGCTATACTGGCTGAGACTTATGTCTCTTGAGGTTCTACCATGCCAGGCAGGTTGTTTGGATAGCGGTTAAACAAAAAGCAGCTACCCAATCCAACATCATGTCCAATACAAAATTACAAAATTTCATGCCGGATCGGCCGTGGCCCGGATTAACAACGACCGCGCTTCCTGCTGCCGTGTCACAGGGCGGGAGTGATAAATCTGCTACTGAGACACACCAAACAAAAAAGAACGAACAAAAACAGGCCGCGTGTGACCGGCCTCAAGCAGTTGTCCCCTGGGCTCTGCGGTCACGCAACCAACTTCCACGGTGTGGGGAGCCGGGAAGTAACAATCGCCCTTACAATCCGAAATGCACACGAAACCTCTATTAAAATGATCATATTGTTAGATTTTAAAATAATTAAATTATTGCTGATACCTCAATTCAATGTTATATCGTAGTAAATATCTATTGGAAACAGCAGTTTTCATGCTCAGGATCATCCCTCTAGTAGAGTTAATTATTGTGCAGCTCAGTTGTAACGGTACAAGAAGAAAGACTTCGTAAAGGAATGTTTGTTTAGAATTCGGTATCTCTATACATATTCACGTAGAATTTAACTTGTCATTTATCATTAAATATCCTAAAACAGGAAGTCAAAATAACAAAAAATCTCAAGGTTTTGAAGTTTTAATTATAAAGGAAACAATAAAACTATTGTTTTGGCCAATGATGCGCGTCAGCTAGTGGTTTCGTATGCTTTGCCGTAGATCAGACTGAATGAGCAAAGAGTAATGATAATGTTCAGTTACCCAGGTTGATTTAAGTGAAGTAGAGATTGTACCCTAGATCTGTTAATTTTAAGTCATGTTTGGTTCACTAAATGTAAGTCAATGCACCACAGCTAGACAACAGTAAGAGAAAGTGGTTTATGTAAAACCAGTGGGTTTACCTAATCTGGAGTACTCTGTTGGTTGATCAGTAGTCATAGGTATAGTGATTTTCAGTTATTTTCCATCCAATTTATTTTGTAGAAGGTCTATGTCGTGTTTCATGAGATTTTAATGTAAATATAGAGTGATAATATGTAAGCGGTTTGATATATATTATTCATATCTGTTTCGGTGTTTGGTGCTAAAATCCTAGACGGTAGGATTTCAACTCTTCTTGGAAAATTTGAACCGTTTTCGGCCTATTTAATTATGCAACCTCCCAGCTATCCGTTAATTTGTCGTTGAATCAGGCTTTTGATACACAAATATTTTACGTTTGTTTAGAATTCGGTATCTCTATATAGCTAAATTATGTACACCTTATGTTCAATGTACCATTTGCACAGGTCTTCCGTGTTGTGCTACTTTTGGTCTTCATATTGTTTTTCTTTGTGTTCCTTTGGCGTCTCCCGTGTATCTTTGCAACACAGTATCATTTACCTTCTCTGAAATCAACTGTATCTCCTTGCTATTTGATGCTTGTTTCCGATGAATGTCTCCTTACACACTACTGATAAATCCTACCAGTAGTACATATTCACCTGGTTTATTGTTTTTCTGTACCTCATTTATGACTCGCACTCATTATGTCATCAGGTTGTTCAGAATTATGTGGGACAATTGTGGAATACGAAACTTAGCGATCGGGTGGTTAAATTGTTTGCATTTCGCGTGTGAGTATATAGTTAGATTAGACAGTCAACGTTACTTCAATAATATCCATACTGACAGTAAAATTAAGCTATGAGATAATTATATTTTTTCAACCTACATTTAGTATTATAGTTTTACAACAGCGTTTCTTCAGAATCAAATGTACACCGTCGTAAGATTGCAATATATATAGCCACAATTAAGTTCTTTAACTTGTTGTTGGTTTTAGAGATCACATTTCTTTCATTAATCAGACACATTTTTTATTCTAACTTCCTAATTTTTATAATTTTCAGGAACAACTGACTTGCCCAACATGTAAAATCAATAGAAAAGATGCAATCTTGACAAAATGCTTCCATGTGTTCTGTTTGAATTGTCTAAAAGTTCGTTATGAAACACGTAATCGAAAATGTCCTAAATGCAATGCTACATTTGGTGCTAATGACTATCATCGCATTTATTTAACTTGATGTGTATTCAAGTCGAATTGTATATCCTGTATGTTCTGAAAACCACCACTTCATTTGCATGTGATGTGTTCACTTCAGAAATGTATATAGTTTAAAACATACGATAATTTTACTCAGTTTTGTACATACTTTTATTTCTAATTAATAAATAGCTTGATTTGTATAAATTGTCATACAGTCCTTTTGTTTAATTATACTTTTGTGTGCTAGTAGACCGTACGTAACTATTTCAAGCCAATAAAAGCGTAATGATAATATCGGCTTTAAAGTCTATTTCGAGAGGAGCCAATTGATAGGAAGTTTCTGACTCAAACTACTTGCATTTTGGAGGTGGTTGTTAGTACGGAACATGAAGACACCTCTGAAAATTCGTATTCTTCTCGTAATTCAGAACTCCCTTACCACTAATTTGTGACTGTTTCACAATTAGGGCTGATAGATTATCAGTCTAAGTAAATGTAAGCACGTGACTTTATTAGTCAGATTAATATTAAACCTTAATAAACTGATTTGGAATAAAAATAATTATAGCGAATAATTGTTTTCAATAATATTCAAGTGTTGGTTTGTAGGGATTTGATTGTTTACAGTGTGGGGTGCAGCAGGTCGGGTGTGAGGAAAAATACTCGGCGAAGTCATTGGCTGGGGTCGCGCTATGTCGTGAATTGGCAGAAGTTAGAATTCGTGGGCCATTGGATCGGGTCCCAGTGGCTTAATGGTATACGAGCTCGGCTTGTAACCATCGGAAGGTCCTGGGTTTGAATCCCGGTGGGTGCATGGTGATGAAGAGTCCCGAACTAGGACAACGGAAACAGCTGTCCAGCACTCCCAGGTTTTCCAATGGTTCTCAGCTTATGATGAAAATAATGTTTTCAATAAATTCTTCAGTTTCTACAGGTACGAATCCATTAACTTAAACATACAATAACCAGTAAAGGCAAATGTATTGTAGGACGAATATAAGATTAGATGGAATATTCATGGTAAAACAATTAGGTATATATATATATATATATATATATATATATACGGTGAATGCTTTTTCGTCACTGAAAAAGATTTCAAGTCATAACACCAACTTTCTCCAGCCAGTATTTCTTAGCTTCCTAATGACCCCAAACGGAGTCTGCACCTCCCTGCGTGGATGAAACTGACCGTCAAAAACTTCATCGACAGATACTATGGCTCTGTCTGATCACCCCTAACTCTTTTCCTACCTGATCAATCCTATGTCGATTACCATTCCTCGTCGAGTAATGCAACGGCTCGAAAATAGGCACCACATGTCCTAGCTACTTCAATCGATTCTCCTTCACAACCTCATCGATAGACTTACTCTCCTTAAATGACACTCTGCGCTTAACCTCAATATTACTCACCGTAGTATACTACTTAACACAGGAGATAGAAGACATCATGCATATCTTCCCCTCCTAATGGCCATGTCTCACAGCCATGAAGGAGAACACAACGAACTGATGCGCAGCACATGCGTCGTTTGGCGTATGAATAACGGGATATCACTTCTGCGCTGGGGACGACTTAAGTTACTTATTGCCGTAGAAGGACTTCGTATCCGTCCTGAGATTTCGTCAGTAATCAGTCTATCGGGGTTGATGCAATTCCTCAGATAAGTACAGTAGTCAACACGCACTTCCACTTCACTGTCAGTCTTTCAGTCAGGAGTCTGTGTAGTGCAGTCCTGCAGCATCGTCACCTCAGTTGCATCTGAAAGGAGTGAGTCGCATTCCACACACTGAAAGATTTGTGGCTAAGAAGTACAGAAGACTCTACATTTTATCAGTGTCTTCACCTAGAAGGACTCGCAGTATAACTGATGTAATTTAAGCACGACTACGGTTAGTCTCTTCAAATTAAGATAGTATAATAGTAAATCATCTGTTTCATGACCACAGTCGAGAAGCTGTTTAAGTCAGTCTAGGCTAATGGTAATTTTTCTTTATTCCTTACGAATGTTTATTCACTGATCTAGTATAGATGACATATTAAGTCGTAGTATCAATAAATATTTATCATACAGAGAGATAACAGTAAGAATAAAAGTCGATCAGAAATCTTGTTACAATAAGCGAAATCATCCATCCTAAAAGTTATTCGATCAATCCACATGAAGAACTTTTTGTTTTTGTGTTTTTTTGTCGCACTTTCTCGAGAAAAGGTTTTTCTGTTATTGTTATTATTAATATTATTATTCTTACCATTGCATATGTATATTGTTATTAAAGTGGTAAAATGTCATGCGGCTTACAAATGTGTATTGTTTTCTATGGGTTATACTGCTTTCAATGTTACGTCAAAATATTTTTTTCATGTGTAGATAGCCCGTAATTAATTGACTAGGAAAATCTATTTATATATACAATTTATTCTGTAAAGGAGTGATCTCTGTATCTTATTCATAATTTTTAAAAATAAGTTAGTCACATGCATATTACTTTGTGTTTGTTGCATTATGGCTTATTTACGCCATACAGCAGTCACTCTGTTTGATCTATTCTTAGACTAAATTAGCAGTAATACTTTGAAAGAATATTTCAGCGGTGTGCATCCTAATTTTACGGATAGAATATAAACAGCACTAAAACTAAGGATAAGATACATGATATTCCTAGTAAGCGATCGGTGTATTCTTAGCAGTCCCACGAGATGTTAACGGTGAGTCCTAATGGGCTTAGTGATGGCATCTTTGTCTACAGTAAGGGCTAACTCGCGTTCGAGTCCCCAAGTAGACATCAAATCCTTCAAGGTTACACATACACCTTGCTCATGAGTGCCAAAAGGGCATGAAACATAGGTTTAGGGGATCTCTACCGATCCCCTTAACTATCAAACATCGATGTTCTGTCTGTCTGTCTGGATTCAACATAGAACTTGGAACCGAAGTGCACCAGTTCAACTTGCCACGTTCCAAATAGCACACAAAGGTAGACAAGAAGATGAGTGAAGAGAATCAATAGAGTTTGACAAGTATAAGAGTGAAACAGAATGGGTAACGGTAGAAAGGAATATGAAAGATTACAGAGACTGAATACATCTGCGCCATTGACAACGATTTTGAGCCATATCACCTATTGTCTCCAGCCATTGATTGATTCCTAGAGTCCCGAGGGCCCCAACCCGGAAGTCTGCATCTCCCTACCTGACACAGTTTAACTGTCAAGGATTTCATGGATTGGTGCTATGCCATGTTTTTGTTTGGCCACCACTTACTCTTTTCCAACCTGGACCTATATCAGCTAGTAATGCCCGTCGTCGGGGGAGGCGGTGGTTGGGCATGCGCACCACGTGACCTAGCCATCTCAATCTATGTAACTTTATAGCCTCGTCGATTGATTTCCCCTCTTTGCTCGACACTCTACGCCTAACGTCAACATTACTTACCTTATTATACCACCTAACGTGAGAAAGAGATCGTAGACATCTATGATCGAAAGCAGTCAACGTTTTCATGTCTTCAACTCGTATTGGCCATGTTTCAGAGGCATAGAGAAGGACGGAGCGAACTGATGAGCAGTACACACATCCCTTAGTTTATAGCCAGCCGGATGTCACGCCTACGCCAGAGATGGTCTAAGTCAGCGAAAGCAGCTCGAGCTTTTTGGATTCGTGCTGAGATTTCGTCGCCAGTCAGTTCGTTGGTGCTGATACAACCTCCCCGAATAGGTGAAGTGGTCAACATGTTCTATCACTTCACTCCCTATCACTAAGCTAGGAGTTGACGTAGTCCAGTCCTGTAGCAGCATCTTACATTTTGCAGGGGCGAATCGCATGCCAAACATACAAAGATTGCTGCTCAAGGTGTTCAGAAGACTGCATTTTGTCAGCATCGTCCCCTAGCAGCACTATGTCATCTGAGTCATTCTAAGTCCATAAGACTATTCCCTGGTAACAAGTCGATTCCTAAGTCGTTACGTTCAGTTAAGGTTACTTCTATTGGCATATCTACGATGAAGTTAAACAGGAATGGGGAAAGTGGACATCCCTGTCGGACACCACTGGTTGTTATCAATTCAGATGACAATTCCCCATAAGCCCTTACATGGCTACGTGAGTTTGAATAGAGTGCCTTGATTAGTGCAATGTACTTTCTTGGCACTCCCTTCACAGTCAAACATTGCCATAGTACCTTTCTATCCACGGAGTCGAAGGCCTCCTTCAAGTCAAGAAATATGGCAATTGTTGGACGCTGAAGAATGTGTCTGTTCTAGAATCTGTCGAAGAGTGAAGATATGATCTATGCACCCTCTACTTGGTCTAAAGCCTGCTTGATTTTCCCTCATCTGTACCTCCCGAGTTCTGCTTAGTCTGTGCATGATTACTGAGCCTAGGACTTTGGAGACTATGTTCGTTAGGCTGATTCCCCTATGATTATCACACGAGGACTTGTTTCCCTTCTTGAATATCGGTATAATAAGTGACTTACCCCAGTCTGATGGAACTGTCTCTGATTCCCAGACTTTGCCTAGTACCTTAGTTAATCTACATCAATGTTCTAAACTCTTTCGGGTCAAATCTGTTACATCAGTAAGTAATAACACCTCCTGTCAACACATCAGGAAAGTTAGCGATGATGACAGTGTTGATCAAAAACTTAGACAAGTGAAAAGAGCTTTCATGAAGATTAGACATCTAATAAGGTTTCTCGAAGCTCATAGTGAAGTATATGAAATAATTACAGATTGGAAGATAATACCTAAGGAAAAGTTGCACCTAAAAGTAAAATATAGAGGTGGTTTTGCAAACAGAGTACTCGAGAACTTAGTGACAATGTCACTAAGAAAAACAGTTTTGCTGTGACTCTACAGATAATTTATTCCAGTCATCACTGATGCACCTTAGTGTTAAGAAAGTTTTACTCCGATTTTTGCAATTCCATGTGTACTTATCTGTCGTTCTATAATTAATATCTTGGTGGAGATTATTCATTCATCTGTTCACTTGTTCCTGTGGAGTTAAGTACGTAAGACGTTCATAAAGAATCATATCATATCGTGTTCTAGAGCTCCTCCCAGCTGGTTTGAGCAGAGAAAAGCGTAGAGGCATTAATTAATTCATTTATATTACAGTATGTAGAAGATAATGAATACACAGTTTCTTATGCATTCTGTAATATAATCTACAAGGTTCGACCAAAATTTACCAAAAGGAGCACAAGTGGCCTCTTTTGCATAATGGAAGCACTAGCGATACATAACATAAAGTCAGGACGCTGTGCATG